GAAGTGGTATTGTAGCGGCCGAGGACGTCAAGGGTATACACACCAAAGTAAGAGAACGCTGAGAGTAGATCCTTGAGGAGATAGATCTGAACAGAGTCGTTAGCATCTCTGAATACTCATTCACATGTAGCAGAAGATGGTACGTCAGGAACGAGATACAGTACGCCTCTACCCACGGGGCCACGAGCCCGTTGCCCTGTCGGTTTTCGATCGGGAATATACAATGGTAGGGGCGCTCACCATTGTTAATGTAGGTCTCATCTTTGTTCATTCTTGAGAATAAATCGACTAAGAGGACAGCATATTTGGACAATTAAATTACCAAAATATAGAGGAATTACTTCTCTCACCGAGCAAAGTGAACTCATCTCGAAACTGCATCTCCTCCTCCTGGTCCATTCCTCTGTCTCTGCAAACTGGATTTGGGATTACTCCTAAACCGTTGAGTACACAAAGAGTGCACAGTTTCCGCCTTGGTAGGACTATAAATATTCACGGTTATTTCCTAGACTTTAACATGTCAAAGTTGGCAATCGCACGTTTGTGACCACTCCTTATCAGTCCAGCATGATATTATAGGTCTCGGTAGAACAGCGAAAGTTGAGAAACGACAAATGTACGATAGTGATGAGTGGGGGAAGGGTTAAGGGTGTCCAAACACGTCCGATTAAGGGGGTCAGGGATGATGGTCAGGAGGCATCGGGGGGCGGGCAGTATGCCAGCAGGTTATATTTGCGTTTCGCCACTGTAACCAAATGTGGTACGATGCGGGTAAGAACATGTGAGGTTTGGTAAATATTTAGGGCCTCAGAATATCCAGGAAGTAGTCACATCTAAGAATAGCACAAAAGGGCCTTAAATATGCAAACCGAGACATTAGACATTATTCATAGACTTTAACCAGGAAATAAGGCAATCACAACGGACAGACTTAACATATTCCGCAATTTTAGCATTCAAAGCTTTTCAAAGGATAGGCAATGGAAAAGGAGGAAAATCCTACAGACTGGGAACATCTGTAAGGACGGACAGAGTCGAAATATCGACATATCTCGATACCGGGTCGGGTGCTTTACCGTGGCTCAGATTACATCAGGCTCATTTACGAATCAGAGGTGTGAGACTATAGATCATTTGTGCAGCCTGGAGTTATGTTCTACATATCTCGATCTAAGCGTACGAGACGAGCAGTCGGATAACGGACGGTTAAATTCCACCAGGTGGTATATTTTCTGACTGTTCGAGTCCCCCCTTTTTCGTAGCTCCTATTATAAACACCCCGAGGATAAGAAGAAGAGGAATATCAACTCTCAGTGCTAGTCTAGCATAACAATAAATCATCGAAAATAGGCCTTTTATGTTAGTTTAAAATTAACATTTATTGTTGCCGTTAACATAGACATCTAAAAAATCGCCCCTTCCTCTTATCCAGATGCTTTCCTTCTCGACCAACCTGCTATTTCTGACCCTGACTACGTGCATTTGTAAAGAGAATGCTGGTCGTATGATTGATTCGCAAATATCCAACCCCTGCCTCTCATCTCGACACGCGTGTGAATTACCCTTTGTAATCCATGTGCGGGTGAGCAAGGCTGATGTTTCTATTGGCGATATTTCTATTGTTTTCGGAATTGCACGATGGGTGTGCATTCTGTGTCAAATTGCTGACCCGCCGAAACTGACGTCGTTACCAGCTCCATGACCTCCCTGCCTCTGCGGCGAGACAAGTCAAAACAGCCAATCGGGGACTGCCCTCTGCCAACTATATAAATTAACCGAAAAAGAGTGGAGCTAGAATTGAGTCTCGTGTTGCCCTCTGAAGATGGATGCATTTCTCGGATCCTGGAAGCTGGATCATAGCGACGGCTTCGACGAAGTCATGGGCCGCCTAGGGGTCAATTTTATTGTCCGTAAGGCAGGCAACACGCTCAAACCCACGCTGACAATCACGAAGGAGGGCGATCGCTACAAGATGGTCTCTTCCAGCACCTTTAAAACCACCCAGTTTGAGTTCAAACTGGGGGAACCCTTCGAAGAGACCACACCGGATGGTCGCAAAGTAAAGTCCACTATAACCATGGACGGCAATATGATGAAACAGGTCCAGGTGGGCGACAAAACCACAGAAATCGAGAGAAGGATTGAAGGCGATCATCTGAAGACGGTAAGTAACACTTGCTAAGTTCTCCGGCCTCCTTTTTATCCCTCTTAATGTTACTTTGTTTTCGGGAATAAATATTCCTTTGCAGTAAGTCAGCGAACTCAACCAGGTTTCGGACAGGTTTAAAAGTGTGATGCGATTGGACTGGGTTCACCTAATCCTTCACCGAGAGGGTGGGAATAGGGAACTGGAGGAAGTCTAAAGTTAGTTAGTCGGTAGATCTGCCAAAAAACGCCTTTCTACTCCAGACTCCCTCGGTTGTCTCCCACCTTCGCTTCAAATATTGACATTGCAACACTATCTCCCCTCCCGTTAATCATTAAAATAATTACAATTACTTAAGTTTTTTTCCTTTATCATCTCTTTTGCAGATCGTGAAGGTGGAGGAGCTGGTTAGTCACAGGGACTACAAGAAGGTGTGATTTGTTTCCTTTTGGGTTCTTATGTTCCTTTTGACGATCAACTGACATCAAATACACACGCTTTTCCTACACCTTCTTTATTTTGCGAAATGCTCTCTTAGAGGGAAATCTAAAAACCTTTAATTGTCACTAAGTGCTAGTTTCAGAAGATCGAGTGTCCCAGACAAAATTGCTGATCAGACGTGGCGGTTATGCCATCCCCCTTAATCGTGTCATTTAACTTATGCTCAGTTACACTGTGCGGGGATTCTGCCTCTTGAAGTTAACGAGATCTAAATTCACAAACCGACCATTCGGGGACTGAAACGGTTGACTTTGTTTCACATCCCAGGTCTTCTCAGTCTCGATTTGAGATACGGCAAACTAGCATCAATGATCAAGAAGTCAAGAAGAGCTCTCCCAGATGCCTCGATTTTTGTTGATACTGGGTATAATCCACAAAAATATCGCGTTCTAGAATCTCGGCAGAATTGACTGGATAGTATTTACTGGGCAAGCGCGTACAAACAACCGTTAGCAAGTGTACAGCCGCGGTTACTGGATGAGAGTTCGGCCAATTTTGCGAGCCTCCTAAAAACCATGGTGATCGAGTAATCAGCAGACAGTGTCACGGCAAACGAGAACACGTGAGAACGTTGTTGAGTGAGAAGAAAGGGAACGACGTGACTTTTCAGCGTGACGTGCTTGAGCAGTTTGCAGTTCAAACAGAGTTCGCTATTCACTTGGGAGAAATACGAATTGTTCGTACCTGTATCTCCCTGTGGGACCTTCATCCCAGGCCCAAAAAATAAACCTAGTGAATGCGCTGCGTCGCAAAACGAAGACTACTGTAGAACATTCCATGCAAAACAGTTTAATCTCAAAGATATGAGATGTTCACATTCATGACAGAATTAAAAAGACCTGATTGACGGATCTCTGTCTTAGAAGTCAATTCAACTATATGTAGCCTAGGTCGCCCAAAATGCTTGCAGAATTTCGGCGACTGCTATTGGTACTTTCAGAAAGTATCTCAAGGGAGGGTGTGGCGAGTCGTACAACGATGACAACAGCAAAGTTCTGACTGCAAGTTACCAGATGTTCACAGTCGTAGCCTCACGTGGTGAACGGAGGAACGCCAGCCAAAACCTTTTACTTCCATAAGGCTGCCGAATTAATCAGGCGCCTATGAATCGAAAATTTAACCAGGCACAGAGATGCTTGTTGGCAATAGTGAAAATCTCGTCCATAAATCGGGTTTCCCCGTTGTTTGTGAAAATACATTAATTTCGTCCGGAAATACTTTTGCACATGCCAAAGTATCATTTAGAACTCAGTCGAGGTGTAGATAACCGTGTTATAGGAAAACACGGTGAGATGAAACCGCGGGACACTTATATAACGTTTGAGCCCAGACGGGTCCAGCGGGTGCATTACGATCACGACGGCATAAAGATTAAGTGGCAATAAAGAAATCGAATGTATCACAACCCAGAAGGAATAGCTAAAAAGCGAGAAAATAACGACCAGAAAGACAACCCAAAAACTGAGGAGAAAAAGAAATCCAAATGTAAAATGGCCGAGAAAAACGGACGGCTACTTCCGGAAGATGCCTCTTTAGCGGTCGAAGCAGAGACATTGACAGATGCTCCGCCCCTCATGACAAATGCTGTGTTCAAACACCTTTGGTGACTCTCATAAACAGTCCGAGCTTGATAGACCTAGTACGAGCGGTGGAATCGATTCATCCATCACAGCCACAGATTCCTCTCCGCAGTCTTCTCCGCCAAGTACTTCTTCCAAGATTGCCAACATAAGAATCAAACAAACAGACGGCGTAAGCGCATCTGCTCCACCATCACCAGCGCGTAGTCCCCGAGCGTTACGTCATTTAGGGAACCACAATTCCGTAGAAAATAAAAAAGAGACCGACAGAGAACAATGTCTTATTATTCAGGGGCTCTCTGAATCAAGTGCAATTACTCCAAAGAAGCGAATTTCGGAAGACCTATCACTCTTCCAAGGTCTTCTCAATAATATTTTGGAACCCACGGAGGCTATTGAAATGATCAAAGCCTTCCGCCTTGGAAAACGAGCAGATAATCCATCAATGTCCACTCGACCCCGGCCTCTTAAAGTTGTGCTGACCAGCAGCGACCAAGCCAGTCTCATTTACTCCAGGCGATTCAGGATTAAAGGCTCCAACCC